TGCAGGAAATTTATTGATTGTTTGGAATCACATGGGTAGTGACCACAATATTTTTTTCAAACAGTTTTTTCTTGAAATCTTTGTATTTTAAAATGATTTCCTCTTCCTAATTAGCACATTTCCAAAACTCATTCCCGAGTTACAGCCCATTTTGTGCTTCTCATTTTTGTCCATTTTTTCCGCGAGTGGGCGGGGCGTCGCCGACGCAAGGTTGCGGCAAGGAAAAAACGTATCGTTTTNTNGAGCGGTTTTNNGNGACCCCCCCCCCCCCCTTACACCGTGACCCACTCTTCATCAACTTCAGAAGAAGTGAGGGTGGATTCTTGGTGTCATCTTTCCGCGCTGGTCCCCCCATTTCCAAGTGGGGGCTCCTCCTTCTCAAACTGCCAGCTAATCACACCCTTCATCGTCTCGATCATCATTCTTCTTCCCATCCCAATGACGTGACCCTCGTTTGAATCTCCAGGGAGTCAGCCCAAGATGCTCAGGCTCCGCCCCCAATTTTTCGGGGGATATCGCTCGTGTGGTGTCCCCGGGGTCAGCTTTGTATAACCATCTTCAGTTTTATGCCTCCGAAGTTTTTGGAAATACGAAAAGAAGTTTTTTTGAACTTATTTTCGCTGGTTTGTTCAATTTTTTCCTTCCTCGTTCCCTTTTGTTTCTGTCACCACACACACCCGCGAAAATCGGATCATCCTGGTCACGTCTTCTGAAGGAACGAAGACTGATGAGCTGTCATCAGATTTTCTTCAATTTCCCGTTTTTCTCGCGAACCATTTCTCTGTTTTTGATGGATCCGGCTCCCATTCGTCTTGATTTTTCATCGCTTCCCATCGGAAACGGAATTTCGAAAAATGACGAGATTTTTATGGTTGGAGTAGAGGAGATTTATGAGTACTTCTTTTTTTTCGAGAATGAACTCTTTTTTTTTGTTTTTATGAGTTCTGAGATTCTAGGACCCATCCAGATAGAGCCGGAACAAAAACAATGGGAAAATATAATCTAGAATTCTGCAGGATGCCCAAAGGTAAAATGTCACCAACATTTTGAAACTAGTTATGTGAGCTTTCATTTTTTGGCTATGGCAAGGCTATGGTACGCCTATGGTAAGCCTATGGGGAACCTATGGTAAGCCTATCCCAAGCCTATAATACGCCTATGATAGACCTATGGTAAGCCTACTATGGTAAGCCTAACGTTAGAGCAAGTTAGGGCAAATCTATGGCAAAAAATATTTCGAATTTTTCCCAAAAAATTTGTTGAACCAGTCCAAAATGTTACCTTTTCACCCTCACTTTTCAGTCAGTCTTCTTGGGACACCCTTAGCTTTTTCGTCCCTTTTTTTGCATAGTTTTTGCATTCTCTCTTGTGTCTGCCCGGCCCGGCCTAAAATATTCGTACTTCTTCTTCTTCTTCTTCTTCTTCTTTTCGCGTCTTGACTTCCCGAGACATCTTCTTCTTCTTTTTGTTAACTTACTCCTGTTCACCTCCCCCGCTTACGTCATACACACTTTTGAAAAAAAAAAATTCCCCCAAAATACATAATTCTTGCCAGTTTTTTAGAGAGCGGAATGGATCAATTCTTCACCAAACTTGTCGCCCTTCTACTCATTCTTCTGCAGATTGGTAAGTCATTTAGAATCTGGTTTAATTAGTGTAGGACAAGTTGAAGCAAGTTAGGGCACGCTAAGGCAAGCTAAGGTAAGGTGATGCAAGCTAAGGTAAGGTGATGCAAGATAAGGTAAGATAAGGCACGATAAGGCAAGTTAAGGGAAGCTAATGCATGTTGAGTCAAGGAATATGCCAGTTAAGGCAAGATAAGGAAAGTTAAGCCAAGCAAAGACCAGTTAGGGCGAATTGGGGCAGGTTAGGGCAAGATAAGGCAAGTAAAAGCAAGCTAAAGTAAGTTAGGGCAAGATAAGGAAAGTTAAGGCAAAGTAAAGCAAGCTAAGGCAAGATGAGGCTAGCTTACTAGGGAACTGTCTGAGCGGGATTCCAAGTTACACTTCATGACCTATATCATTAGAAAGCCTATAAAATTTTAATTCCGAAGATGTTTTCTGTTTTTTCGAAACGGCAGCGAGCTTCGAAAAAATTACCGTAAAACCTGTAATAAAGTGCCCCCTGACTTTCAACTTTGAGCCCATTTATCTCGGTTCTTGATAAAGATGTAAAAAATTTGTCAACTAATAAATTGTTTCTGTTATGATGATAAACAATTTATCAGTTGACACATTTTGATATCTTTATCAGGAACCGAGATAATTGAGCTCAAAGTTGAAAGTCAGGGGGTCTTCTATTACAGGTTTTACGGTAGATCAAAAGGTAATTTTCAGTTGATTTCAAGCGGTTTTTGGATCGTTGAATTTTGTGGGAATACTATTTTTATTATTTCTAAACGTTTGGAACATTTTCAGCACTTTTCAAAATTTTTTTTCAAAAATTACTTTTGAAGTCTGGGGTACCCATGAGGATTTTTTTCAAAAATTTTTTTTTTTGAAATTGTTCAAAAACTGTTTCAGAAGATTAGAAATGTTCAAAAATGGGGCTTGCTTACAAAACGGTTCTGAAAAGTCACTTTTAAAGCTGGAAAAATGCACTTTTCTGGTCGAAAATTAGCACTGAAAACAATTACATAGACCATATTTCGGCTCATATTCAATATGGGGCAAAAATATTGCTGAAATCGTTTTCAGTATGTTCGAAAGTATCTTGAAACTAATTTACAGAAAATTCTGGAATTCATTTTTAAAACATTGTTAGGTCCGATGCACCAGAAGCTCATACTTCGCAAAAAATATTTTCTCAAAACTGGAAAATATGCATTTAAATAGCATTTAGGGTTCTCTAGTGATATGATATTAAAAAAAATCAAATATCTTGTATGTAGCTCAAAAAACCTGTCAAAATATCACACAGACAAACAAAACAAAAATATTATCATTTCACCATAGGGGAATCGAACCAGAGACCTCCTGCTTCTTAAACCCGTTTCTTACCACTGTGAAATCGAACCACTGTCGACAGTAGATCTTCTTTTGAAATAAATATATAACGTGTCTCACGTCGATTTTCATGCAAAATCTATAGACTTCAGTGCTAAAACTTTCGACCTAATTTTCTCGGAGCTCACGACCGTTTCGCAAAAACAGAAAACGCATTCAAAATCAGAATCTTATAGGCTTTCTAATGATATAGGTCATGAAGTGTAACTTGGAATCCCGCTCAGATAGTTCCCTAGTTAGGCAAGTCTATATTTTAGTCCTAACTAGTCTGACCTAGTCCGACTTAGACGCGCGAAAAAAGGCCAAACTTCAAAACCCAATTTTCAGGCGCCATCTTGGCCACACCAATCCCAGAAGCCGCGCCAGAAGACGTCGAAACTCGACGCGAGTTGGAAAAGCGTGGCGGCGCCCGAGCTTTCTATGGGTTCTACAACGCAGGCAATTCGAAAAGGGACCAAGTCGCCCTACCGTACTATTTGTATGAGAAACGAGGAGGTGGACGCGCCTTCAACCACAACGCCAATCTATTCAGGTAAGAAGATTCTGGAAGTTTGCATTTCAATGAATTGGGTTGCAGGTACGAGAAAAGAGGAGGAGGCCGAGCATTCGCTGGATCTTGGTCACCATACTTGGAGAGGTAATTTTTGTTTGAACTTTGAAATGGAGTTGAGGCAAGCTATGGCGAGATAAGGCAAGCTAAGCCAAGCCAAAGCGGCTCTTTATAACATAGGTAAAAATGTGGACTAAGTTAAGATTTATCAATGTTTTCTAGTTTTGTGACCGTTTCCATTAAAATTTCGAACTTTGAACACTTTTCATAATTTTTTGAAAATTTCAGTTATGTCATTTTTTGCATATTTTTGTCTATTTTTTGTTACTAAGCCTGGAAAAATCTGAAACTAGCTGAATAACTTCAAATTACACAGTTACAATGGAAAAAAAGTGTTGTTCATACAAAAAACCGGCCTAAACTGAAATTTTATGAAGTGACAAAATTTTGTGGAAACAAGCGCAAAGTACGAAATTTTAATGGAAACATTCGAAAAACTTGAAAAAACTGGTAAATCTTAACTTAGTCCACATTTTTAAATATGCCCCTGAGATTCTGAATGTCTGAATGTCTGAAATTCTGAAATTCTGAAATTCTGAAATTCTGAGATTCTGAATGTCTGAATGTCTGAATTTTCTAAAAATTCCAACGGATCTATAATGTTCCAGAATCCTAGAAATTTCGCATCCCGGAAAACTTAGAAAACTTGAAAGTTCTGAAAAAAAAGAAAAATTCAAAAAACCTCATACCTGTAACTCAATGAAAAATCATATAAATTTCATCAGTTGAACATTT